TTAACCCTCAGATTTCCCTTTAGTTATTGGATTGGATAACATCATACGACAACCCAAAGCATTCTTCAAAAGTTCCCTACATGACATCATAATAGAGATACAATCAAAGATCATTACGTTCAATGGAAATCATAAGTATTGACAAAGCACTTGTAACTATGACATCATGATACTCATGCTAGGAATTTACTTAACATGATTGTGAAAACAACCTTAACTACTTGTGAATATAAGTTTGTGACAATTATGTGAAACTCCCTTATATTCTAGCACCAAATTCAAGCATGCAAATTAACTAGGCCTCCCTAATCAACATACAAGAATAAGTTATCCATCAAACGGTTAAGTAAATTGCATTCACAATTTATAAAATCACAACTGGAATTAATCAACTTATATTATAAACGTAATCATGGTTTCAAGGCATCCCCTAGCTAAAACGAGTTTAGCCTCTCATGTTCACAACAAAACAAAGGAAAATAGAACTAAATATTGAAAACAAATGATAGATTACACCTAAAAACGTTCCAACACTTTAACTTGAATGCACAAATGTCCAAGGCTTTTTCTTTCTTCTCTTCTTCCTTGCTAAGTCACGACACAAGAGTCTAGGGTGATTTGTGGATGATTTTCTGGGTTGTGAATGGATTTAGGAGGGTAGGGTGGTGCGGCAAAGGTTAGGGATGGTGTGTGGAGGTTTGGGTGAAGGTATGGATGTGTATGAATGGTGGAAGGATTGATGGAAGGCTGCGGCAAAGAAAGGTTTCTGTGTGAATGAGGGCAGATTGTATGGAAGAGTGATTAGGGTGAATGAAAGGCGTGGCCTTGGTATTTATTTGGGAGAAAGAATCCCTAAAGTTTATTACATAGTTTAGGAAAGGATTTAACCCCAAATCTCTAAGGAAAAGGAAACACAAAGTCAGAAATAAAAGGGAAAGGAAAGGTAACCTACAGCATTGGATTGCAAGAAAGGGAATGTGATTAAAATGCTAGAATTAGGCAAGGATTTGAGATAGAAAAGGTATGTGAGGTGTGGCATTAACTAGGGTGGAATAGGAATGTGGTTTAATGACTTAGAATAGGCAACAATGGACCTCCCTTGCACGGCAAGGAAAGGAAGCACTTATGGAATGCAGGGCAAGGCACTTAGGCTGCAAGGGAAGCTTTATTTGTGTCCTAAAATACATAAGGTACCTTCAAAGTTGCTGGAATTTAGGGACTTTTAGGATTAGGAAAGGTTAAACCAAAATAGGAAACCTTGGCTTAACTTTCCTACCTCAAATAGGAAACCTTCTTTGACTAGGATTCCTCATTTGATTAGGAATCCTCTTGTGATTAGGAATCCTAACACCTTTAGGTCTTCAATTTCGTCCATTCCTTTTGCTCCAAAATGCCCCTTTTTGCTTCCTTAGCCATATGAACCTAAAAACACACAAAAATAGCTTAAACTACTAAAATAACTATGAACTAACAACATAAATGCACGAAAACAAGCTAACTAAGTCACCTAAATATGCTCCTATCAATGAAGGCTGAAGAAGTCCATCTCGTGTAAGGCAAGGTTGCACAAAGGTAAATGTAATACCCCGTATTTAAAAAGAATGGTTATATGTGTGTGTGTGTGTGTGTGTGTGTGTGTGTGTGTGTGTGTTATTTTTAATGATTCTGTTAGATTTATTTTAGGCAATAACCTACTTTCGATATGTAAAATAGTTTCAATGTAAAATCCTTTTTGCTACAAATTATTTCAAAAACTAGCTAATAGTATTTCATGTTCATATGTAATTAAAGATATTTTTAGTTTGAATTGGATAAGGGGATTATGATGAGTTTGGCTTTATTTTTCTCACAAAGGCTAACTAGTGTTTTGCCAACCATTAGAGAATAAAGAGGAGGGGATAGTTACTACTCTAGATAGGTTGAGGTGGGATTCTATATTTTATAGAGTATGGATGTGGCCTTTGGGTATTTGTCCACTTTGCATGACAATTTTTGTTTATGACTAACTTAAAACATGTTGCTTTGTCATATGAACACATCCTATTGTCAATGATTAACTTCACATTTGGTGTGTTTCTATTGGAACACATAATAGGGCTAATGATTAGCTTAATATTTATTTTCTTTCTATTGGACCATATATTGTGGTTAATAATTGGTGAAGATTCATCCCCCAAATTTGGAGAGGTGTGATTCTATATCCCTAAGAGTTTGGACATGGCCTTTGATGCAAGGAATATCTTGCATGATATTCATTAGTTCATGATTAATCTAACAGTTGTTTTTCCATTGGAACACATATCATTCTTAATGATTAGGACAACATTTGTTGCTTTGTTATTGGAACACATTTTATGGTAATGATTGGCATCACACTTGGTTTCTTTCTATTGGCACACTTGTGGAAATTTTTTTGGAGAGGAAGATGTCATGCAATCTTTACAAGGAAGGAGCAAGAACCAACGGAGGACATGGAGAAAAGAGAGAGGAAGAAGAAGCAAAAGAAATAAAAATAAAAAAAAACAAACAACTCCAACAAAAAGCCATCCTCCCTTTCATATTACCTCTTTATCTTTCTTAAACATACTATTAAGGCTTTAAGCCATCTTTCATTGTATTTTTAAGTCTCTCATATATAGTGAAATACAATGAAAGCAAACCCCAGTGGATGTAGTCGATTTGGCAAACCACTTAAATCTTGTGTTGTTTATGCATTTACATTTTGAGGTCATTGTTATGAGAGCACTCCCACTAAACCATCAAAAATATCCATTTACTTCCCTTGAGAATGCTGTAAAATAAGGGGGACAAATCCTAGAAAATGTATAAGAGCTTACCCAACATAATTGCTCTATGGAACTCAAATGGGTTTATGCATCAATATCACCTAGAGAGAGATGGAGTAAAATGGTAAATTAATATTTCTCAATTAGATTGTTGTGTGTTATCCATACTATATATTATTGATAATATAATATGATTTTGGCTACTAACAATTTGATTAGTGTATAATAATTTGATTAATGTTGCAGATGTTATAAAGCATGTGATTATTGATATCCTTGTTATATGGCATATACATAAGCATTCTTGTAAAGTAAGAAAAAGAGTTAAGATTGAGTTGTGAGGATATTCAAGGGTTGAAGTTTGCCTTGAACATAAAATAATGAACCTTTTATACGTCAGGCATCGGGGGAAGGGCTTGAGTATACAATCGATTTGTTATAAATTAATGAAATCTTGTATATGTCAAGCGTCGGGGGAAGGGCTTGAATATCCAATTGGGCGTCGAGGGAACTGCCTGTATAATAAAGTGGAAACTGAGAATTTAATTACAAAAACTGGGTTTAAGGGATGAACGGGGGTTAACTCATATTCTAAGGTATTCGGAGCCAAGTGGTATAAGCATGGTATAGACGTGCAGGCTTGGGTGCCTTAGGTATGTGTTAGCAGGATTAGAAGGGAGTGAGTACATTCATCCATCTCATTTACATATATTTTATGCATTTGAAAGAATTGTTACAATTTAATTATTATTTTGTTGGTACTTTTTGTTGTGAATTAATTTGTGTACTATAGTTATTCCGCTGCGTATTCCATAAATTTTATGTAGTAAACTCAAGCATTTAGTATGCAAAAGTTGTTAACTAGTGTTATAGGATGTATTGTGTAATCAGCTCCAAATAATTTAATTTTAATTTTTCCACCATATCTTGGTAGTAGAATTTATTTTTATAGCTAAGATATGGCTCACACCCTAGCTCGTGGATAGTCTTTATTAGCGGATCGGGGCGTGACAGTAAAGCTGCTCCATGGATAGGGATCTAGGAATTGAGCTTGTGTGATCTTTATGGTATTGTTTGGTATGCAGACGGGACGGGACGGAATGGGATGGGACGGGACGGGACGGGACAGGACGGAACGGAACGGAGCGGGAGCAAAGATGCCCTCGGATGGAAACAAGGAGGAAGAAGAAGGAGACGGAGAGGTTATAATTTTGTGTTCCACGGATGTGGAACGAGTCGTTCCAGGGGGGTGAGGTGGAACGAAAATTCACCCAAAACTCGTCCCGTGGAACAGCTTGTTCCACCCGTTTAAGGCGCACCAAACGTGGGACGGAACGCCTTGTCCCACTCTGTTCCGTCCCGTCCCACGTACCAAACGGTACCTATATGAACCTTTGTTTACACTAGTGGATTGGACTCAGTGGAGAGTTCCCGGTTTTTTAACCTAGAGGTAGGTTTTTCCATCCAAAAATAGCTTATGTTTAAGTTATTTTTATTGTGTAACACATCTTACATACACATACATGATACATATATTTATTGAACATTTAAATGGTATGTGCTCACAATCATGCTCACTTGACATATTAATAACTTGCAATGAACTATAGCCTTGCTGACTAGGATAGTTTTTGGGAATTGAAATTGGTATTTGAATCTTCAATTTATTGGCTAACAAATATCTGAGTTGAGTAACGGGCTTGACTAGCTAGCCCAAGGGATTATATTTTTATATACAGGATATTCCACCTGGTACCAATTTCAATTGGTATCAGAGTCTTGCTCTAGATATACATAAAGTGATTTATGGGATTTGCTGGTATTAGGTGGAATCTCACCATGGACTGTGATCATGTCGGTGGCTCGTGTAATACACCTTAATCCTTTGATGGTACAAATTATGCTGCTCAGAATGAGAAGTTTCAAATATTCCTTTAGGCTCAAGATCTTATAGTTGTTAATTATCTCACTCTTGAGTGGAAGGCTCTATCGAGGCTAGTCAATAGAGAGTTTGTGATTAAACAAAAAGGTGAATAGACTTAAGGAGAAATTGCTTTGGCCATGGCTAATAGGAAAGCAAAAAATGCTATTGTTCCTGCCATTTTGTTTAATCAGTTTGCTCATGTTTGATATTGCACAACTGCCAAGCAAGCTTGGGACAAACTCTGAATTCTTTATGAGGGTGATAAACAAATGAGAGATTTAAAGCTCTAAATGACCATTTCAAATTTTGAGGATTTGAGAATGCTCGGGTTTGAGACTTTCTCAATCTTTTTTGAGAAAGTTAAAATGTTAACAAATGAAGCCTTGGGGATTGGGAAGCCTATTGATGAAACAATAGTTGTTCAAAAGATTTTAAGATGCTTGCCCAAGAGATTTCAAGTAAAGAAGGCTGTCATTCAAGAGTTTCAAGACCTAAATGAGATCAAGCTTGGAAAATTGGTTAGGAAACTCATTACCTGTGAGGTGGAGCTTGACATGGATGAAAGTGACTCCAAGAAGAGAAAAGAAGTAGCCCTTCAAAGTGTTGAGAACTGTGAAGGTGTTAGTGATGTGTGTAGACATGCCTCAGAAGATGATTTTGCCCTATTCATAAAACAATTCAGAAGAATTCTCAAAAATAAAGGAAAGGATTCTAAATGGTTTAGTGAGTCATCAAACAATCGGGAAAAACAATCTACTGGAGTGAAGCATAAAAGGTTCACTAGAAAATGAGACAAAAGTTTGTTAAAGGTACCTGGTCCTTGCTTTGCATGTGGTGGAAATGGGCACTGTGTTGCAGATTGTGCTAACACCAAACTCCTTAGTCAAAAGTGCGAAAAGGCAGTGATGGTTGCTTGGAGTGATAACAATGATCAAGGTTCTGTGCTTTCTGATGAGTCGTCAAGTGATGAAGAAAAGGTTGTTGCTTTTGTTGCTCCATTGAGGAAATGTCTCTAAGTGATGATGATTCTGTTCTGAATGGCAATGAGGAGATGACTTTGAATGAATTGTGAATTAAGTATGATACACTCTTTGATGAGACTTGCTCTACAAAAGTGGAGAAGATTCAACTAACTAAGAAAGTTGATGAGTTATAGAAGGAAAACAAGTATCTTTGTCTAGTAAAATTGAACTGGATGAAAACATTAGTTATCTTGAGGCCCGTGTTGAAGAGCTAAATGAGAAAGCTCCTAATTGCAATGACAAAGTTGAAGATAATGATGTCATCACTACTCTTGAAGCTCAAGTTCAAAACTTGCTAGAATCTCAAGAAAACTTGACGAATCAAATTCATGTGTTAAAGGCAAATAAAGTGATGTATCATGAGGCTAACAAGAAACAGCTACTTGGCCTAAATGAGGCAAATGATAAAGTTATTTGCCTTACTATTAAGGTTGAAAAAACTGACAAGATGCTGAGTATTGGGAAACTACATGGTGACAAAAGTGGTCTTGGTTTTGTAGAAAGTGGCTCAAGTTCTATCCCCACCAAAACAAAATTTGTGAGAGAATCTAGGCTTGTATCTTAAAATGTTAAACCATGTCCAAAGACAAGATCTGTTCCTACGTGTCATCAATGTGGTTAAGTTGGGCACATTCATCCAAAATGTAGAAAATTATACTCTAGACATAGTATTTTGCTTAAGGATCAGGTGGATCGTCTCGTCATCAAAGTCAACAGAATTGCTCAGCTTGTTCATTCTTCTTCATCTGGAAATATTAAGCAAAGTTCAAAGTGGGTTCAGAAGGACTCAAACAAGTTCCTTGTTGTTCTAAATGCTTTATCTGCTACCAAACCAAATATGTGGTATCTTGATAATAGGTGCTCTCGTCACATGACTAAAGGCAATGAGGCTTTATCATCTCTTGATCTTTTTATTGGCAGTGGTGAAGACAAGTCTCAGATCATAGGGAAAGGTGATGTCAAGATCCTTGGATTACCTAAGCTTGAAAATGTTAGCTATGTTGATGGGTTGAAGTCAAATCTCATTAGCATTAGCTAGTTGTATGATGATGTGGCTAATGAAGTGTGCTCTCAAAAAAAAGGTGTTAGATTATGGATGAACATGTAAAGAACTTGATTGTACTTTCGAGATCTAGAGACAATTTCTACATTCTTGATGTCTCTAAAGTTGCTAAATACTCCATATGCCATAAAGCTATTGATAAAACTAGTGTATTATGGCATAAGAGACTTGGGCATGTGAACTTCAAAGACCTCAAGAAGTTGTCCAAACATGAGGTTGTGAGAGGGTTACCACCTCTTTTTGTTTATGACTCCTATGTTTGCAGATCATGTCAATTGGGAAAGCAATCTACGGTGGCACACAAAAAAGTGATTGACATTAGAACAACTAAGCCTCTTCAATTGGTTTATATGGATCTTGTTGGACCAATCTAAACCTTATCTCTAGTGGCAAGAAGTACATCTTGATTTTTAAGGGAAAAATCAGATACCTTTCAACAGTTCTTCACTGTGTAAAAGTAATGTTGAATAATACTTTGTCTAGCCATCCTGTTCTAGTTAGAATCAGAACTAATCATGGAACCGAATTTGAGAATGCTCACTTTGATGATTTCTGTTTAACCAATGGCATCAAGCATGAGTTTTCTACTCCAATCACCCCTCAACAAAATGGTGTAGTGGAAAAGAAAATTCATGTTTTGATAAAGATGACTAGGGTGTTACTTAACAGCAAAAACTTGGCAAAGCATTTTTGGGCCGAACCCATGAACACCGCTTGCTATATCTCAAATTGGGTATATCTCCATCATGGCACTAATGTGACACCTTATGAACTCTAGCGAGGTAAGAAGCCAATGGTAGAGTATTTTAAAGTCTTTAGGAGTGTTTGCTACACTCTACATGATTGTGAACATCTAGCAAAGTTTGATACTAAGAGTGATGAATGAACCTTCTTGGGGTACTCCAACATAAGTCGAGCTTATAAGGTTTACAATTTGAGAACAAAAAGCATCATGGAGTCCATAAATGTCAAGATTGATGACACTGATGTCCTTCCCTCGTTGGCAACTGAAAATGATGATGTGTTACTGTAAACACGAGAAATTCCTGAAACAAGCGACAAGAATACGTGTACAAAATATATTTTTTTGTATTAATGATTTTTAGGGTTACAATCTCTTTGTAATTTGGTCCTCTGATTCTATCTTCGAAGGGTGTAGGTTTGTGGATGAATTGTTGATCCAAAGGGTCGTCGGGGCCTGATCTAAGGATGAACAGTTGATGAATGATGAACACTTTCTTCAAGGGGCCGTCAGGGCTTGATCTTGAGTTGGTGGGAGTTCTTCAAGGGCCGTTGGGGCTTGATCTTGCAGGAGGATGGATGATGAACGATGAACACTTTCTTCAAGGGGCCGTCGGGGCTTGATCTTGAATTGGTTGGAGTTCTTCAAGGGCCGTCGGGGCTTGATCTTGAAGGTTGATAGATGAGCGGATCTTCAAGGGCTTCTCGGCTTAATCTTGAAGAACGATTGGATGTGTGGATTTGTTGAGGTTGTTGATCCAAAGGGGCCGTTGGGGCTTGATCTTAGGATGAACAGATGATGAACGATGAACACTTTCTTCAAGGGCCGTCGGGGCTTGATCTTGAGTTGGTGGAAGTTCTTCAAGGGCCGTTGGGGCTTGATCTTGAAGGTTGATGGATGATGAACGATGAACGAAAAGTGCTTTCTTGATTCTTCGGGATTTGCTTGAGAGCTTTAGAGTTTCAAGGCTTCTTTCTTTCTTCCTTCCCCAAAATGAATGCCTTGGCCTCCTATTTATAGAATTCCAAAACTTGATTTTTGGATTTAAATAATCAGATGAAATAAATCATTTCTGCCAGGTATTGACACGTGTCCTGTTTGATGACTTTTCCAATTTATTTCGATTTTTCGTTGAGTCACACGCTACATGTAAAATTTATGTGATACGTGAGCGTTGAAATTTTAATTTTTGGTCAACATTTATTTCACCGAAATTTTGATGTCTACAGTTACTTCCCTCTTCTAAGGATAATGGTGATGCTTCTTGTGAGTCAAGTGTGGTGTCAGAAAGTGACAATGAGATTGAATCAAGCACTGATCAAGACCTTCGTGTCCTACTTAAGGACAAACTAAAGTGGGCCAGAGGTCATCAGAAAATTACGGGTCTAATTGACAAGGCATTAGAACTCGAAGATAAATAGCTAATGAAGTTGCAAATGTTTGCTATCTTCCAGATTAAGCCTAAGAATATCAAAGATGTTCTAACTGATGAAGAATTGATCTTAGTCATGTAGGAAGAGTTTAATCAATTTGAGAGGAATGAAGTATGGTCCCTTGTTGATCATCCATCGAACACTAATATTATTAGCACAAAATGGATTTACAAGAAGAAGTTTGATGAGTCAGGAAATGTGATTAGAAATAAGTTCAGGTTTATTGCTCATAGATACCCTCAACTTGAAAGTGTTGATTTTGATGAAACCTTCTGTCAAACTTCTTTGTGCTATTGCATGCCATTTAAAGTTCAAGCTTTTTCAAAATGGATGTCAAAACCACATTCCTTAATGGATATCTTAATAAGGCAATCTACGTGAAACAACTTAAGGGCTTTGAAGATCCTCACAAGCCAGATGGGGTGTACAAACTAAGGAAAGCTCTTTAACATCTTAAACAAGCCCCTCGTGCTTAATTAACAATACACAATTTGTAAAGAAGGTGAAGTTTCATGTTGTGATTGCTCAAGTATATGTTGATGATATTGTTGATGGCTCTAACTCTGATTCTCTTGTGAAACAGTTCATTGAAATGATGACCAGTGAGTTTGAAATGAGCCTTGTTGGTGAACTAAACTACTTTCTTGGACTTCAAGTCAAACAAGGAAAGGATGGCATTTTCATCTCTCAAGCCAAATATGCCAAGAATTTAGTGAAGAAATTTGGTCTTAAATGATCAAAAGCTGCTAGATCACCAATGAGTACTTGTGCCAAAATCCACAAGGACTCCAGTGGCAAGGATGTTGACTAAATTGTGTATATTGCCTTTATAGTTAGGGTGTGTGCTTAGTTTCAAAGTTGTCCTAAAGAGTCTCACATGTTGGCAGTTAAAAGGATTATCAAATATGTGGGTGGAACAACTGACTTTGGACTACAATAAACGCAAGACACTAATACAACTTGGTTAGATATAGTGACACCAATTGGGCTGGGTGCATTGATCATCGAAATAATACTTCTGGATGAGCTTTCTATGTTGGGAACAATCTGGTAGCTTGGCATATCAAGAAGTAAAATTATGTCTCCTTGTCCACAACTGAGGCTGAATATGTTGCTGCTAAAAGTTGTTACACTCAACTATTGTGGATGAAGCAAATGTTCAGTGACTATTGTATCTCTCAATCCACCTTTCTTGTTTATTGTGACAACATGAGTGCTATTGATATTTCCAAGTACCCTATCCAGCATTCAAGAACTAAACATACTGATACGAGGCATCATTTCATTAGAGATCTTGTAGAAGGTAAAATTCTTACCTTAACTTTTGTGCCAACTGAAAAATAGCTATCTGACATCTTCACTAAAGCCCTAGATAATTGAAAGTATGAGGATCTTCGACGGTCTATTGGTCTTTGTGATATGATTTGAATAGGTTGTATAGCATTGCTTCTGAGAGTTGATTATTTTGTCTAGTCTTTGTGCATGTTTTTGTATAGGCAATTATCTTATCAAATAACCTCATTTGCTCTCTGCATGCATCGCTTATATGTCATACATTGTTAGTAATATTTCGATTAGCCTTGGATAATCTTTCATTATGATTTCAAAGGTTCTCCCAATTCTCTCAAATGGCCTTTGAAAAATCATTTTCCAATCATCCAAATCTAGTGGTGTTTTTTAATTTAATGTTGCTTTGGTCCTAATTGAATGGTAGTGACTTTACTTACTCTAATGGACCATGTTCCGATTATCTTCTTTTTTGTCCTTTCCCCAAATCAAAACAAAAAATTCAAATGGGAGAGTGTCTTATAAAAGGGGTGTCTTCAAAAGAAAATATATATTATCAAATGACAAAATCCCTTCATTTTGGCCTTCCATGCAATGTCATGTGTAGTGCTTCAAGATCCCCCTCAATAGGTCATGTATCCAATTCTCTTAAATATAAATAGTGATTCATCAAAAGTTCACCTTCATTCAAAAGACCTTGGCATTTCTCAAATTGTTGCCTCATTCAAAATTCAAATGGGAGAGTATCTTATCCATTGTCCATATTATGTAGGAAGTGTTGTCTCTTAAGGTTAATGGATCGAATTATTAAAAGCTTGGTTAACTTTGAAAATGCTTTTGAGATTAAATGCTTTGTTCTATGACTTTAAGATGGCTATCACCAATCATATCCCCTTACCTTGACACATCATAGTTGTATTATGAGCAAGTGTTCTGATGTGATATATAATAGCACACAAATTAAACCCTCTTTTTGACAATTGTAGTATAGATATAAGTAGGGATCGTTCTAGGCCGGGGATTAGGAGGGATTGCTAATCTAATGAAAACTGACTCAAAGGTACAAAAATATGCTTCAAAACACTTAAACAAACTCAAAAGACTCTTAACTAAACTTATATGACTCAAAACAAACTTAAAAGACTCAGAACAACACAAAACAATCAAAAAGACTCAAACTAGACTCTAGGACTCAACTTGGACGAAAATAGGGTTGGTTTTGACTCAAAAGACTCAAAAACACACTTTAGGACAGATTTGACACAACTAAATAAAGGGGATTGGGTTTTTGACGAATTTAAGATAAAAACAAGTAACTAAAAGACTTAAATAGGATTTGGACGAATTTGGGAAAAACGATGGATGATTAGATAGCTAGAGGATTCTTTTCCACACATGACATATTTGAACACAAATTGATTTCCAGTTGCTTTTTGATAAACCATGAACCTCAACACCCCAGATTAACTGTGACATCACTAATTAACCCTCAGATTTCCCTTAAGTTATTGGAT